GAGCTGCGTCATTGTAACTTCTGTATTGTTATCCAGGCACAGCTTAAAGCTCAATATAATAAATATATATAAATGTATAATCTTATGAGATTTAAGCTATTTAGTCTAAACGTTTATGTTCTTGTGTTATAATTTGTGTTCAATCTAGAATGAAAGAGGCATAATTTATATTTATTTTCTCATTTTTTATGGTGGTTGCGAGATTGGTCAAATCTACCGAAACTGTACAGAGATTAATTACTGAAAATAACAGATAAAATATAAAGTTTTTTCTTAAGAAATGTTTGATAACTATCTAGACATTATAAAGATTTCGCATGTGACATTTCAAAATTTTCTGATGCATAAAAGTATTTTTAATCTTAAAATGAAAATTACTTTGCATGATAGATTGGCAACATGTGAAAAGAAAAACAGACATGAGAAAAACATTGCTTTATAAACCTTAATACTTAATAAAAATATTTGATGTTTTGTGCATGAAAGCATTGTAATGTTTACTGATAATCTGCAAAATTTCATTAACATTCACTAACTAATTTATAAGTTATAGCACGAAAACTATAACGAGCACAAAATGGTTTTTACGAGGTCAATTCCAGGGACAGAGCCCATGCTGAAAGAGTTAACAGCTTATACCTGAGCAAGTTTCCCAGAAGCAACTCCTACATCTGGTTTCTTTTTTTCTTTTTTCTTCAACGGAGAGCACTGCTTCTTGTAGTTTTTATCTTTATTTTTGTGTCTTGGTGAGTTCAGATCTATATGTATAATTTCCAGTTCATCATCATTGAATCTTTGGTCCTCATCATTGCTAGGGAAAATAAATGCCAGACCTAAAGAACTGTACAGCTAACACTAGAGAACTGTACAGCTAACTCTAGAGAACTGTACAGCTAACTCTAGAGAACTGTACAGCTAACTCTAGAGAATTGTACAGCTAAATCTAAAGAACTGTACAGCTAACAGTACTGTAAAGCTAACACTACATAACTGTAAAGCTAACTCTAGAGAATTGTACAGCTAAATCTAGAGAACTGTACAGCTAACTATAGAGAACTGTACAGCTAAATCTCAGAGAACTGTACAGCTAAATCTCAGAGAACTGTAGAGCTAACTCTCAGAGAACTGTACAGCTAACTCTCAGAGAACTGTACAGCTAACTCTTAGAGAACTGTACAGCTAACACTAAGGAACTGTACAGCTAACTCTTAGAGAACTGTACAGCTAACACTAAGGAACTGTACAGCTAACACTAAGGAACTGTACAGCTAACTCTTAGAGAACTGTACAGCTAACACTAAGGAACTGTACAGCTAACACTAGAGAACTGTACAGCTAACTCTAGAGAACTGTACAGCTAACTCTTAGAGAACTGTACAGCTAACTCTTAGAGAACTGTACAGCTAACTCTTAGAGAACTGTACAGCTAACT